GTGGAATATAAAGAGTACCTGTTGCATGAGCTGCATTGGAGCCTTGTTATTTCTCTGGCATCTCTTTGAGATGCTTATTTTAACTGCTCCTTGGCAGTGTCCAGCTCCTCCTCCATGGTGAAGTTCCAAAGAGTGAGAAGTAACATGGAGCAGTGCGTAGGTGCATGGTGAGCGGGAGATGTTGTGCAGAGGGATGGGCAGAAATGGCTGTGGGTGTATCGCTCATACTGGCAGGGAAATGACAGTGTAGCCTTCCCTTCTCTCTCTGCTTGGTACCAGAATGACTCCTGCCCATCTTTCTTTCTAGTGCCTTTCTCTCCTTTCCCTCAGTTGATTTTGAACAGCGGCTGTGGTTTGCATGTATAGCAGAGCCCATTCATGTGTTATTCGCATAGTAACAGTTCCATGTATTTAGTATATGAAAGCTCAGTTCATTCAAATACATTTTTTTTCTGTTCTAGCAGCAAAACACCAGTAATAATATGGTAAAGCCTTTGCGTATGGATGAAACTGCAGAGACCAACATTTGTGGGATGGAAGACGATTTGTTGTTGGTTGGTCTGAGTCAGTATGTGTCCTCGTGGTCCACTTGCGTATTTACAGCAAAAGGATGCAGAAACTGGGTGAAGCTTCGGCTACTGAGACAGCTGAGGGTGAGCAGGCCCAACCCTGAGCTCCTTCAGAAACCCCTGTGCCAGTAGGGCACAGGTTGGGCTTGTGGCTTTGTGGTGCATCAAGGGTGATGGGATGTGGTGCCACGCGGCAGCAGGAGCAGCCCGATGGGGACTGGGCTGTGTAGGACCCAGTGTGATGCTCCAGTCGGGTGCAGGCCATGGAGGTGCTCAGCAGCTCTGCTGGCCTCCTGAAGGGTGGTGGGACGTCCCTGTCAGGGCTGCTCTCACCACATCCCTTGTTAATGGGCTTCTGCAGAGCAAAAATAAAACATTGCTTCTGGCAGGAGGATCAGTGATACTAAGCAGTGAGTTTTGGGAAAACATTGAAGTCCAAATCAAACCATAATTTTGTCCCCAAGCTGCTCCGTTAAGTCAGATTTCTAATTTTCTTTTTGTTATTATGTTTATACTGAAGGGAAACCCTATTTTTCCAGGAGATACTGAGCCAGGCATCCCACAAAGGGAGCATCGGAGTCCTTTCCCATAGTGTGCACAGTATAATTTGAGTTCTGTGTAGACAGTGAGGTACAAGCCATGGTATGGATGAGCAAACAGAGCACAGGGGTAGCTGTGTACGGTGTCATGCTGTGGCCCCACAGGAAGGCACCCAGCAGCCCTGAGAAAAGTCTGTTGCACAGCCATCAGCAGGAGATAAAAAAATAAGCTATAGTGATCGCTAGCCTTTCATGGCATTTTTGTATAGCTAAGATACCATTTCCTGTACAGTTACACACATCATTGCTTAGTGCCATGAACTTAAATCTTATCAGCACTCGATAGGAAAGCTTGGCTTATTTGCAGTAGGGCTCATTTCAGTGTTGCAAGCTTCTTTTCAATTAAAACAAACATCAAATTAAATATAAAACAGATAAGCAGGGAAAGTGAAATTAATTGATTTTCCAGCTCTGAGGTATGGTAGACAGAGGAAACTTAAGGCTCTTTCATTGGATTATATTACTTTCTTTTGTGTATATTAGGGACATGAAACTTATTTTAAGAAGTGGATAACTGAGTCATTTATGTGTAGTAAAGCAGCAATTTTAAAAGACTCCCAAAAAAACCCAAAACCCAACATGTACTTCAAGTTGATTTTTATTAAAGGAGAAATATAGCATAGCTATCATTATTAATATCAGTACTAAAAATTGACTTTAGTTTCAGTCACTTCCATGTTGATTTAAGGTTTTGTACTGTGTACCCAATGTAAGTAGTATATAAAAAAGGAGTCCAGGAACTATGAAACACCTCTTTGGACAACTTCAGCCTGTCTCTTGATCTCAGATCTTCAAAGGTTTCCTCACTTGAGGGTTGGGGACTTGGATCCTTTTCGCTCTGTCTGCTTACTGACCTTGATGATAGGTGTTTAGTCGAACACGTGTTTAGCAGCCCTGGGATTCCCTCTCAAATGAAACTGAAAATTGCTTTACAGGGAGCCGGAGGCAAGTTGTGCTGGGACTCCACTGTACCTGGCAGCCAGCTACTGCCAAGCTGCAGGCTGCAGGCAGGATTGGGAAATATTTTTAAGAGTGTGTGTGTGTGTATATATATACATATTAATATTTTTTCTGTAATGACGACATGATCAAGAAGTAGGTAATGTACTGGAAGATACATTTCCGCACAGGAAAGGTGAGAGGAGGAAAAAACCCCACCTCAAACCCATAAACCTGGATCAAGGGCTGCACCTCACCTTTCTTGTCTCCTTCCCCTTGCACCGTGGGGCCCTCCCAGAGATGGTGTAGGACCATGAGCTCAACAACGTATGTTTGTATTTCACAGGAACTTATAGAATTCAGCGTGGAAAACAATATTTGACTATGCTTTAAAAAAACCAGCCAAGCCCACAGGCATTTCTTCAAGGTGTCTGATGGTGATAGATTCTCCTCATCTCGATATTTCCTCTGCCTCCAGCCCTGTCGCCTTTTAAAGCAGCAATGGGAAGATTTTATTATGTTTTATACTTTCATCTTAAGCAGTGATCTGTCTCTCTCTCTCCATGGGTCCATGCAGCAGGCTAATCCCTCAAGTCTCTTACACAGCATAATTTTCATCTTAATTTTTCTGTTTCTCATCATGAAATGGGTTTGCCAGGGGAATTTCCTGTCCTGCCAGATCATTAATTCTCTGTGAAAACACCGCAATCTCACGCTTCTCAAGCAAACAGAAACATTGGGAAGAGACATTGTCGTGCAAAATACTCGGCTGTGCTGCAGCAGCTGGAGGAGCAAAGATGCTGGTGTGTGCTGCAGAGACCCAGGGGTTTAAAATGGTCATTTGAAAAACAGGGAGGCAGAGATTATATAAGAGCAGTAGAAAATGGCTTTTTAATTCCTTAATAGAAATGACGATGTCTGGTTTTTTCAGCTTGAATCTGCTGAGCTGTCTCCTCATTGTCTTTATTTTTAGAAACAATTGCTCTTCTTTTTTTCAAAACAACGCTGGCACCACGCTTTTTATACTGACACTTGTCACTTTCCGAAAAAGGATTTTATTTTTGCTCCTGTTTTCCCATGCTTGGCCATCTCTGCCTCCCTGTAATCTGTGTCAACCAAGCCCTGAAAAAAGGAAACAAACAAAAAAGCCCTTCAACCCTGTATTTGTGAATATTTTCTGCAGAACATTTCAGGAGATGAGAAAAATCCGGAATTATTCTCCTTAAGCCAGCAGCAGGAGAGGAAAAGAAATTACTCATCTGTTTACTTTTAAAAATCCTTTTTAATAACTCAAACGCATCTGATAAATTATTAGCATTTTACCCAGCCAGCCTCTATCATTAACTCCTGGCATTTCTGCTGTAGGTAGTCTTGTGCTCGCCATAGGATCTTACTGCCAAATCCAAGGATTTACAAGCCTCAGGAGAGACTTAGATTTCCCACTTCCCTGCCTTGGTCATTTTTTAGCCTCTCTTTATGGGGTTTTGGGCTTTTTTTCCTTTTTCCTTGTCCCCTTTGCATGTTTGTTGGTCTTACAAACATCTGCACAAGCAAATAGTTTCTGTAAGCACCAGAGCCGTGGAGCTGTTTGCATGCTCTCACAGGCACATCCCCAAGCTTGGGCTCTATACCCATCCAGTTTTGGAGTGGTGCTGCCCTCCCTATCATCTCCTGTCATCCCAAAGCCAGGGTGCCTGCAGGGGGAGGTGCCTCGCTCCCACAGGCCTGAGTAGCCAAGTGATGGGACATGATTTGCCATCAGGGAGCAGAATTCAGCATTGTGCAGGTGAAAAAATGTAAATTTGGGGTGTGCCAGTGCTTTCCCATGGTAACAGAGTTGAAACTGGACAAGTTTCCATGGTGATTATTGCTACAGCAGGATTTGCTGCACACTTCGGAGGAGGCACGGACAGCACCAGGTGAAGCAGCCAGGCATCAGCCAAAGTTTGCTGGCACCAGCTCACAGGGCAGAAATTATTTATCCTTCTAAATAAATGGAAGTGCAGTGCCATTCATTTCCTGGTTTTCAGGTTTTTTCCCAAGGGGAGGGAGGTGATAATCTCTAGGGGAAGCAGGCTGCAAATTTCACCACAATCATGAACAGAACCATTTCTGCCCTTTTTTAATCACCATTTGGTTGGTTGATCCAAAGAGTTGGGCTGTCAAAATAAATTTGAAGTTGCTTTGATTTTTTTATTTTTTTTTGTTATTCTTCAGGTCTTTAATGAATCAGGTGCCTGGTTCATGTTTCTATCTAGCTCTGTGGCAGGGTGAACACTGGAGTTTGGATTGGTTTTGCTTTGCTGTTGCCTGGTCATGCTCCTTTTGGCTCCTGTTTCAGAGGTGCTGTATGCACTGTGCAGCGCTTGCCTGCTTGCCTTTAGTAAATCCCAGCAGGATGAAAAAGGGACAAGTACTGAAGGGGAATCAAGTACCCTTTGCCAATGGTGGAATATTTCCTGGCTGAAATATTTTCAGAAATACTTGTTTTGGGGGATTCTGTTGAATTAAAACAAGGTGCTGTCACTGAGCTCTGCCATGCACTGTCATTATGTGAAGCTTTGTTTAAAAACATAGAATGGGCATCCCGAGTCCTTGTTTCAGGTTACGTACTGGGAGGGTTTTTTTGACTGCAGGCATTCTTCGAGGCCTTTTAAATTATCTGTGTTTATGGCTAAATGTAAGTTCCTCAAAACTCTTTGCACAACACTCACAGATGTATGTATATCCAGCATCTCTGTATATATAGTACACTGTCTTATATATACGTTAGCCTGCAGCATGGAAACGCTTAACGGCTTTTCTTTGGTGACGGGGTCTTTAAAGGCAATTGCAAATATTATTTTAGGGAGGAGATTTATGTGGTGCCTAAAATATGTTTTTTGGCTTGCAGGCTGAATTATGTCGGTGCTGATGCTTCTGGCAGCGTGGAGCTGCCACGGGTCCCACTGACAGCGATGTAGAGGTGGCTCCAGCAGAGCCCAAGAAGCCCTGCAACATGGAGGAGCTGTACAAGGATGCCCCAAACCTGCCCATGGATGTCACCAACTCGCCCTCGGCAATGGCCAACAACAAGCTGGAGAATGGGGTGGCCCAGTTGATCACAGCAGAGGCCTGGAACATCAACTCGGCCGACCTGATGAAGAAAGCCCTTTCCCCACTGGTGACAGTCCCTGCACCCTCCATCCTGACACCTCCGGCCGAGTCGCAGAGTGGGGTGGCTCTGAAGGTGGCAGCCACTGTGCTGCAGCCCATCTGCCTGGGGGACAGCCCTGTTGTCCTGCCAATCCACCTGCAGGTTGCCGGCAGCGCTGCCCCACAGATGCCAGCCACCAACGCTGCCACCCCCTACGTCATGACCACCCAGGGCCCCGTCCCGCTGCCCGTCCTCCTGGAGCAGCACGTCTTCCAGCACCTGAACTCACCCCTGGTGCTGCCCCCGGGGGCTGCCTGCCCTGCCAGCCCCTTGCATGCTGGCCTTTTCCCCAGCACTACCACCCCTGTTGGGCAGCCCCAGCTCCTGGACCCCAAGCCCTCTGGCCAAACACAAGAGTCCGTCCTGCCCCCTGTCTTTCAGACACCGGGGTTTGCTGCCGTCCTTCAGGACCTGTTTCCCTCACAGGGCACCCTAGGCTCTGCCCCCTGTCAGCCACCCCCTGACTACGCCACTCTCCCACCCCAGGCCTTCAGCTCGCCTCTCTCCCCACTGGTGCCCCCTGCCACGCTGCTGGTGCCCTACCCCGTCATCGTGCCCCTGCCTGTCCCTGTCCCCATTCCCATCCCTGTCCCCATCCCTGTGCCCCATGGCACCGAGGCCAAGGCAGCCCCTGACCCACCCAAGCCACCCCTCTTCACCCCTCACTCCTGCAAGGGCACCCAGACCCCCCTGGAGAAGGAGGAGACAAAGCCCTTTGAACTCCTCCACCCACGAGAGTTTCCCCAGCTGAGCCGTCACACTGTCATCAAGATGGGCGGTGAGAACGAGGCCTTGGACCTCTCCATGAAAGGGCCGCCTGCGCTCCGGGCCAGCGAGGCCACGCTGCCACCACCACCGCCGCCAGAGGACGGGGCCCTGGACCTGTCCCTCGCCTCGTGTCGCAAGCCAGGGGTCCCCCATGGGGAGGCAGCCGGCCCTGGCCCCACCGCCACCGCCGAGGTCAGTGCCCACCCCGTGCCGGACAAGCTTTCCGGCCCCGCTGCCCCCTTCGCCCCCTGCAAGCCCCCGGAGGCGGCGGGCAAGGCAGAGGGCAGGGCACCAGGCGGTGGCACGGCCGAGCTGCTGCGGCAGCCACAGAAGTGGCTGGGGGAACAGGCGGGCAGGGCGGGCTGCGAGCCCAAGGCCGGCAACAACATCGAAATCGTCAGCACCTCGCAGACAGCCAAAGTCATCGTCTCCGTCAAGGACGCCGTGCCCACCATCTTCTGCGGCAAGATCAAGGGCCTGTCGGGGGTCTCCACCAAAAACTTTTCCTTCAAAAGGGACCTGCCCCAGGACTCGGTGCTGCAGTGCTACGATGTGAAGAGCCCACCCGAGCCCCGGGACAGCGCCGAGGCCCTCAGGAAACCCGTCAAAAACAGGAGCGTAAAGCTAAAGAAAATGAACTCGCCGGAGATACATATTCTTCCAATCAAGAAGCAACGGCTCGCTGCCTTTTTTCCAAGAAAGTAAATTATGGGTTTTTAGAATTTTAAGATTATTATGAGAAGAAGAAAAAAAATAATAAAAAAGATGCACTTGGTTTTAAACTCATTTAAAACTTTAAACTATCTTTGTAAGTTATTTTTGGGGGAAGGGGGAGAGGATCGGATGTAGAGTCCCTATAAGCTGGGTTGGTTTGTTTTTTTCCTTTTTTTTGTTACAAATTTTGACTTTTCATGGGAAACTGAATAAAAAGCAACCTATTTTTCAAGCAGATTGCACATTTTGCAGCTTTAATGGAGTAATGGATGAGTCAGAGGGGTAAGAGCTATTTTCACTGCCATGAAGTGCTTTGATGATGTAATTCTTCATAATGGTCGGAATGGAAATTTCAAAATAAATGTTTGTACATGCTAATTGGTTGCGGCATTTTTTTGTTGTTTCGGAATGGCTTTCAGTCTACAGAGAAGGTTGTGCGAAAAAAAGTCTGTAAACTGTAAAGCGCTGCAACTGACTTGTGATGAACCTAAAATGTTGCAAAAAAATAGCAGGCTAAGAAAAATTATATTGTCCCACAGCACTGTCAAAGGGCATGTTGCAACAGCTGCTAACGATGCACCCAAATGAGCTACCAGAGAAGTGAGAGCAGTACAGCCTAGTGTGCACCTCAGGTAGGTTCATTGTCGAGAGACCCATCAGAAACCATCCAAATATTAAGTAATGCTATCAGTCATTTAAAACAGAAAAGCCTGAAAGTCAGGAGAATTTGGTTGCCATGGGGCAGGAAGGGAAGGAAAAAAAAAATCCCATAATTTTTCCCAGCCTGACTACAGATATATGGAAAAGTTGTTTATTGTTAGTTTTCTGAGTTTCTTTGATGGCTGATATCAATGCACGTAAAAGAGCAGAGCTGTGTAACCTTATCACTCGGCAGTGTACAAGCCACCCACGTCAATGGAGAAATGTGAATGTACAATTAAAATAAAAGTTCTGCTAGGTTACGGTTTTGCACTTGTGTATGGAAATGAGCTGGGGATACATTACTGTCTACTGGTTTTGAAGTTGACATGGCTCACTTGTAAACACCCATCCTGACAGAAAGACAAAGTGAGAGCAGGAGAAGAATTTTTAGTAGGCACTGCCTTTTTTGTGGCTATACCTGTAGAAAGTGTGGGGTTTTTTAAATAACTTCAAACTGCAGTTCCCAGCACTGCACCAGGACTGTCTAAATAATAAAAGCCATTGTAAACCCATCAGTTGGATGCCGTCGCATGCTGTGCCTTCCTTTGCCTATCTGCATCCAATCTACTTCCAAGACTCCTCTTCCCAAAAGTTTCTGCAGTTGTTCATACAATGAGAAGTTGCCCAAAGAAGTGGCATCAGGGTCTGAAGGCTAATCACATCCTTAGGCACCAGTGTCATGCCAAAAGTCTGGAGAAGAGGAGGCTCAGGGGAAACCTCATCACTCTCTACAACTACCTGAGAGGAGGTTGTAGCCAGGTAGGGGTCGGTCTCTTCTCCCAGGCAATCAGCAGTAGGACAAGAGGGCACAGTCTTAAGCTCTGCCAGGGGAGGTTTAGGTTGGAAATTAGAAAGAAGTTCTTTACAGAGAGAGTGATCAGGCATTGGAATGGCCTGCCCAGAGAGGTGGTGGATTCACCGTCCCTGGAGGTTTTTAAAGTGAGGCTGGATGTGGCACTGAGTGCCATGATCTAGTAATCACAGTGGGGTTGGATCAAGGGTTGGACTTGATGATCTCAGAGGTCTCTCCCAATCCAGTTAATTCTATGATTCTATGAAAATCTGTTTCAATTTTTGATGCCAGGAGACACCAATTCAGTATTTGGAAAATGCATCTTCACTAGGAGGTTAGGAAAGGCATGCTGTTTCTCTTTTCCTGGGCTGAAGGATCATTGTCCTCTGGCTTAATACAAAAGTGAAGGACTTCCACACAGGCATAGCATAAATTCTGTCAAACTCTTGTTTTTTAAGTATTTTTAAAGCCTTTTATTTTCCCAGAGGAGGCAGAACTGACAATGTTCAGAAAAGTGTAAAGTGTTGATGGATTTATTAATGTTTAGCCATCTGACTGTATTTTTTTCAAAATATCTTTTTTCTTAATTGAAAATACTCTGCTACTTTATTTTGCTTCTTCCAACAAACTGTGCTGATGAAATGTGTCCTCTGGTTATTGCAGTGCAAAGGCTCAGGATTTCAACATCCCTTGAGATGGCCATCCCAGTTGTCACTGTCCCTGTCTATTTCAGCTGGGCCTCTTCTAGAGTGTCAAAAACCTTCTGAAAATGTGATTTTCCCCCAGGGTTACACCAGATTATTTAAAAATAAGGCAGTCACAGCATTAGCTGCTGTCATTTCTATTTTGCAGTTGACAAAAGCAAGTTCAAAAGAAGTTTCTGGGATACTTTTCTAATTTTTTTTTTAAATAAGTACGTGCTTCTCACACTGGTGGTTGCATTTGCTGCACCAACTGCCCCAAATCCTTGCCATCCTTGAGTGAATGTCATTCCCTGCAGCATCCTCAGCAGGCAGAGGGAGGGTGTTCACCATTGCCCCTCCTGCTGGTCACAGGGCACGTGGGACAGGCAGAACAGTGGCCATCGGTGACACTGGCCGCAGGTGCTCGTGTTTTCCCTCCTCTCACTCACAGGCCTTTAATGGGAACATCAATGCTGCGGCTGCCTCCCAGCCCACTCTGCACACAGTGGTCTGGTTTAACTGAATTTAGACCACAAGCTCCAGAAATGCTGACAACAAATTAGGCTAAATCAGGTTTTATGACATTATAAACCCATACAAGCACTGTCAAAACACCCAATGCCTAGGGGTAAATAATCGAGTTTAAAGCCAACTGGTACTGGTTGTAACAGCAGACCAGACCAGCAGCCACGTGGCTGCATCTTGCCCCAGGCCCTTGGAAGAGTGACTGCAACCTCCTCCCTCCACACCAGCACCTCTCCTGCTGCTCAACTCTGTTGGGTGAACGATGCTAAGTAGGAACCATTTGCCTCCCACCACCCCTCATGCGTGGTGTGGGATCAGCACAGGGAGATGCAGCCACAGAACAAGGCACTTAATTACACCAAGATTGAGGACTTCCACCTCCTCCTCCTCGCCTCTAGCAGCAATTACAGATTTTGTATATTGGGCCATTAATTTTCTACAGGGCTACATTTTAACTGCTTCTGAAACTTCTGTATGAGGAGAAGGACACTGAACTGCACTCATGATATATGGTGCTTCCATTTCTGGTGGCTGCTAATGGAGACATTAATACCTCTAGTGAAGTTGAAGGGAAAGTCATTAAGCTGTAATGGTAAGAGGAAGATGTTTTACAATGATGGGTATATGCAAGGGGGAGAGAGAAAGGAAGAGAGGAACTGTGCCCTCAAGGGCAGCCCCTTGTTGGCTTCAAGTTTCCTGTGACTTGGCCTTTGGGTGTGGGCTTTTATTAGGGGGTGAGAGAGAAGAGGGTTGCAGGGGTGAGTTACCTTCCCCTCTACTCTCTTACCCCTGTGAGGAAGGGGCTTTGCAGGAATCCAGAAACTGAATCCAAGGAAAGGAGCAGGGCTGTGTATCTCACATGAAGGTCGCAGTGCATGGCAGCCTCATGGGCAGGAGAGCTCTGATGTACCAGCTTTCACACCAGGAGCTTTCCTCCACAGGACAGCTGGTCCCCTTCCCCTGTGCTGCCCAAGGCACAGCTCCAGGACGAGGGGTGCACAGCTAAGGATTCAGCACATGGAGTCAGCTGTTAGCAAAATAAATTAATACAAAAGAAGAATGAGCAGCTTCTCAGACAGGGAACTTATCCGGACTAGGCAGTTTGTAGGTTGCGAGAACACCAAGTACTCAGATAAGACACAGACAATTATGAGAGCAAGGAAAAGGTGGAGAACAGGGAGAGGAAAGGCAATGGAAGCTGAGACAAGATCCACCTCCAGGCCTGTTAGCACCTCACCTTTACTGAAGTCAGCAAGCAGCCAGCCAGAGAACAAAAGGGAGAAGCAAAACACTGGCCCTTGGCCATGAGCCGATGACAGAGAAAAGGAAGGTGTCAGCTTGGACAAGGCTCCTGGGCCACTCTATGAGAGTGGGAAGAAAGGTGAGCACTGAGCACAGGGAGAGTCTCTTGCTCTCTTGGGCTGAAGGCAGCCAAGAAGTGAGGGCTGGGAAAACCATATATCAAACCACACACATGTGGAGCACACAAGGCAGCACAGCCTTCCCGCTCCTGCTCCTGTCCTGACACCACGGGATGGGGAAGGGCAGCAGCAGAAGGAAGGAGAATACCAAAGGTAGCCATTTCTGTCTCTCACAGGCCCTAAGTAATGTGTGTGACCTATGCTATCCTACCACCCATGCTCCTATCTGCTATCAAATTGATATGCCACTATGTCTCCTGATCAGTGCCAAGTTTTTTACCACTTTTTCCCATTTTCTGCTCAGCCCTCCCAGAGCAGCAGGATGATTACACCACCTTGCACTACCCTGCAGAGGTCTGACCCCTGGGAGCTCACACACTTGCACCTGAAAGGTTTTGGGGAAACTGGCTTTCACAAAAGTGTCTACTGAGCACCTCAGGGAGCGATTCAGGGAAGTCTGTGCCACTTCACTTTCACAGAGGCACCTCAGGACAGCGATCTGACAACAATAAGCAACTCGTTAACAGTTCTCATGAAGAATATTAGACAATGAAAACAGCATAAAACAACATTGCATAATATCCTGGTGCCAGATGTTTTAGTTTCTTTTTGTGCTCAAGTTTATAAAAACATGCTGAAGGGCTCAGTCAAAGACCTTACTTTCCTCTGTCTGGGATCTGTTCCTGCCTTCCCAAATGCAGTCAGCCTGACATTGTGACATGAATGGCGTTAATTAGTGCAATTTGCTTTTTTCACTCACCTTTCACTTTTTTCCCAATGCATCCCCCTCCTCTTATTTAAGGTTGCATTTCTCTTAGATTATACCACATACTTTTAATGCTAAAAGTTTGCAATTCAGAGTGCTCTGTAGTCCTACACACACAAGCAGATTCCCTAATTTTAGCGCAGAAAACATTTTTCACAGTTGTTAAAATCAGGGTACTGCAACCCTGTTAGGAAAATCCATTTTGTTGTTGAACCATCTGAAACGTTTCTTCATGTTTGAGGAGAAATATTACTAATCACTAAAATATTTAGCACTGTTTTGTGCCCATATAACCCAAACTCCCCTAGAATAATAGGATAATATCCTAGTACTGAAATTATTAGGATTCTTTCAAACTAAGACAGAAAAATTAAAAGTGCAAACAGCAGGGTACAATCTCATGAAATATCTGGAAAGGAGGACTATTTTCCAAGTGGAACATCAGTTTTCACTGTTTAGAAGTATATTTCCAGTGAAATTCTGGTAAC